AGCAATTTCTTAGGACCATCCGATTCTTCACCATTTGTGTGTAAATGGCAAATTGAAATGCATTTTCAGATATTGTTGAGATTCTGTAGAGATTGTTATAGTGTTTATAAAGGAAATCAGGTGGTGTTTGTTTTCCCAATTGGTAGGATTCCAAGATTAACAGGTGCTATTTGGGAAAGAGAGAATTTGGTGTGGAATCGTGGTATTCCTTTCTTTGTGGGGATGCACACTTTGATGGGGAAACGGTAGGGTTTCCGAGGGGAAGACCTGGGAGAGACGACAGGACTTTCCCGTGCAGGGTCCAGGTCAGTGGTCGGCAAACTGCGGCCCCTTGAGTGTGGCTCTTCCACAAAATACCACGTGCGGCCGCGCACGTACAGTGCGATTGAAACTTCGTGGCCACACTCAAGGGGCCAAAGAGCCGCGTGTGGCTCGCGAGCCGCAGTTTGCCGACCGCTGGTCTAGGTGAACATTCACTCACGGGCCACCAAGTGGTCTTCCTTCAGAAAACTTGGTGGCTGTTTGACAGTGGTTGGCTCCCTCTCTGGGGAAGTGAGGATACCTAGAGTGCGGGCTCTCCGGAGCTGTCCTGGGCCACATAGCTTAGTCATTGTGGAAGAATGTGCTGTAGGAGACCTGGGGTGGCCCCTGAATTCTGCCTGACACATTTGTTTTCCCCAAAATAGACTTGAATTTGCCAGGAGTTAGAGCCCAGTCATTAGCACCGTGGGGGCTTGTCTACCTGTGGCGGTCTTGTGGCTTCTCATAACCCTTTCTCTCCCACGCTCTGCCTCTGGCCTACATGTTGCAATGCTGATGACCTGTGCAGCACAGTTAATTTTTCTGCAGCATCCTGCTCAGCACACTGGCTTCTTATGTCTAAATGGGCGTCCGTCCCTTCCCTTTTCATGTTACTGATTCTCACTCCTGGCCCCCTCCCCCCACTTCCTTTTTGCTTATTGAATAGGGCTCTTTTTTTTTTTTTTAATTTACCTTAGATTATTATGATCATCTTATCCATAGCAACAAATAAAATACATGGGTCTCGATTGAATGCCAATGCTGCAGTTCAATCTAGGAAGGTTTGTCTGCTATTCATAAACTGCTTAAGATGTTTCCTTGTAGTTTGTGACATAAGCAGAACGCTTTGATTTGGTTTCTTTCTACAGCTCCATTTTCAGTCCGGGAGCACACATTACTCTGCGTACAAAACGATTGAACACCAGATTGCAATTCAGGTAGGAAATGCAACAGATCCTGAAGCTTGAATTGTCAATGTGTAGGTCTCCTGTGTCTTTCATCCTCTACCCCTTCCCTCAACCTAGATGATGATGATGATGATGATGATGTTGATGATGATGTTGGCAATGACGATGGTGATGGTAGTGATGATGGTGGTGATGACGGTGGTGGTCATGACGATGGTGGTGATGGCGGTGGTGGTGGTGGTTGATGGGGGGAGGTAGGAAGTAAAGAATAAACAAGAGCAGAAGATGTGCTGCTGAAATGATTTGAAGATACGGGAAGAAAGAGAAGCCTGTGTTTTTGTGTGAAGAGTCTCTTGTTCAGGCATAATGGGCACACAGACCCCAGCTCGGCTACTGTGTTTTGCTTAGGGAGGGGTCTTAAACTGGGAGTAAAAAGAGGCGACAGAAAGTGACCAGGATGAGTGGAGGGGGGAGACGGGAGAGGAGGCTGTGTGACAGCCAGAGAGTTGTTCCGGTGGATCAAAATCATGTTAAGTGGTGCTAAGAATATCACTTTTGACCTGATTGTCCTGAAATGTTGATTTCTCCTGGGCCTGTTGATATATGACACTAACAGTGCTGGAAGGGAAAGGCGACAGATCCCAGCTTCTGATGAGTGTCCTGTTTCCTGCTCACGTAGTACTTCCATTCTCTTAAATCCAAAGGCTAAACAAATCATGAACTAATATAGACTCCGAGCTGAACTGATGCCAGCAGAATGCGGTTGTGGAGCGAGAGCAGACTAATACGATTTTCGTCTGTCTGTCTGGCCTGGCCTGGCTTTGCCAGGATGGATGGGCCTCCTGGTGTAACTGATGGGGCTGAACCTCCTTGGGTCTTCTGGTTTAACCCTTTGAAGGAGGCTTTGACACCGGTCGTTGTAGTGTGCAAGTCTGGCCCTGGGGTCTTCTCTTCTCAGAAGTCGCTGTCGGTGGGTTGAATGATTTACTTGTCCCAGCGTTCCCTGCCTTGTAGTTACCCTTGCCGATAACTTGAGGGGTACGGGCATGGGGTCTCCCGGAACTCCAGCCGCATGGCATCTGTGTGTCTCTGCCGCTTCACATCTGCATCTTCCTGGGTAAGACTTTCAAGTAGCCCTTGGCCCCCCGGTAACTTGTGCACCATACCACCAGGGGAAGCTATGACTCAGCAGGCATTTTTATTGGGTGGATCCCTAATATTTTTGTACCCATTTCAAGGTGACGGTAACTGATTTTAAAAATATTTCTATGACTTCTGAAGTTGTGCTGGCTGATCTGTGTGTGTATTTGAGGGGAAAGTGTGGCCTTGGTTTTACCCTCCCAACCCCCAAATATTTTCAGGACTGGTGTCTTTAGTTGGGCCTCCAGTTGTTCTTGCTGGCACACGTCCGGTGGACCCTTGTCCCTCTTGATTAATGGCGCAGTGAGTCTTGCTCCCAGAAGCTGGTGTACACTCGGGGTTTGGTTAGAGAACATGCCCAAACCCGGACTCCCAGTGAATGGAGGGCTGAGCAGTGTCCTGGGGCCTACGGCATCTCGGGGAGTGCTGGAAGAGCCTGTTGCCCGGGGTGTGGGAATTGTGGAGACTGAATAGCGTAGTGATCCCTATCTTGGTGTGGAAAGGCTGGCTGGGGCCATGGCACTGGGAGACCAGCCGAGACCAGACCAGCTGTTGTGTCTTTACACCCTGCTGAAGCGGCCCTTGTTAGGCCGGGCAGCTCGTCTTTTCTCCAAACCACCTGGCACGGCGCGGGCCATGGGAAGCCCTTTCTCAGGAGGAAGATGGAGTAAATTACAGAGCTCATTGTTTGGAGGACTGAAACCATCACTATTCCTCCATGAACAGGTAGTATTGTTCTGCCCTGCTTCTGTTTGCCGAGGCTGGATGCCCATGTGGGCAAACAGAGAGGCGTTTTATCAGAGGCCCAGCACCGCATGCTCTCAGTGTCGTGTCCCTCCCCCCCACCCCGCCGGACCAGGACCAGGCCACGCCAAATGGCAGCTAGCTGTAATTCTAGTTGGATCATCAAAGAATAAATGGAAAAAAAAAAAAAAGACAAAAGAAGCAAAGGGAAAAAAAGAGGAAACCTCAGACACACAAAAATGGTTCCCAAGGCCCATGGCGGCTCACCCACGAGGTGGGGTGGGAGGAGAGGGTGGCATTGAGTTGGTGAGCAGGAGAGCAGCGTGTCCCCTTGCTCTGGTCTCTAGGATAAGGCTTAAATGCAACGTGTGATGGTCAGGGCCGAATTTTCTTTCCTGGAAACTTAAACTGGTTTAGCCTTAATAAATACTGTATTTCAGTATGAGCTGAGCTTGTTGCTCTCCTAAGCTATATCCTAAAATAACCTCGCGTAGTATGATACCGTGTATCACATGAGGTTCATCCCCCTTCCCCTTGCCATCCCTCCTGTAATCTCAGGGCTGGGCCAAGTTCACCGTTTGTATGAATGGACGCCGAGTGATTCTGTAGACAGAATCATGTTCTTGTCAAAGGTATGGACACAATATCAATGGCTGTGTTGGGATCTTCCCCCACTTTTGACAACCTCCTGACTCCTCTCAGTTTTGAAAAGACAAAAGTAGCAAAAACGATTCTCTCTAAACGGTTAGCACAAATGTATATGGAATGAAAATGTAACCACTGAACTACGTCTTTTTTAGACGTAGTTATTTGACTGTTGACTTTTTTAAAGTTTTATTGAAGTGCAGTACTTAGATCTTTAATGGAGAGTGGATGAACTTTTACCCACATCAGTAGAGTATAGAATGGGTTTCGGATACTTGTTCTGTAAAGGGCCAGATAGTGAGTATTTTAGGCTTCGTGGGCCGTACAATCTCTATGGCAACTACTCAGCCCTGCCAGTGTGACGAGAAAGCACCCAGAAATACTACCTGAAGGCATAGCTGTGACTGTGTCTCAATGAAACTTTATAAAATCCGACAGTGGCTGGATGTGGCTCAGGGACTGTAGTTTGCTTTTCCTGATAAAGAATATTAGCAACTTCCCAGAAGTCTCTTGTTCTCTTCCCAGTCATCCTTCCCGGGCCTCCAGTAAAAATTCTCACCAAGGAGTAGTTTTAGCTGTCCTCATGGATGAGTTTTGCCCGGCCTTTAGCTTCTTAGAAATGGAGTTGTACAGAATATACTGTCTCATGCCTGGCCGCACTCAGCACCATGCCTGTGTGTAGCAATAATTTGCTTTTTTACGGCTGCATAGCATTCCACGTCGGAATGGGGCACATTGCATGTAGTTTTTCTGCGTTGTTGGATATTTGCTTCCAATGTTCTGCTGTTAGGAATAAGCCCCTCGTCACACTCTCCCCACAGCTGTTCATACACAGGAGTCGGCCTGGAGAGGCGCAGGGCAGTGTGTGTGCTTAGGTTCACATTGACCTTTCGACAGACTTTGACACTGGATTTCAAGTGTTATCATGGAGATGCTCTGCCTGGCGGTTGTTAGGTATGTGAGTGATATTTATGAGGAGGAGCAGTAAGATAAGGCTCCTTTGCCCAGAGTCCAGTACAGGCCCCTGCACGTAGTGGTTTGGCCCCTGCCTCAGCTCCTAGGAGCTCCTCCCACCGTTTCCATTAACCTGGGGGAGGTTTAGCAGGTTCGGGGGTGGGCGGGGGGGGGGAGGTTTAGCAGGTTGCGGGGCAGAGGTGGGCCCACACTGCAGATTGCTCCGAGGGAGGCTCTGCAAGTGGTTAGGATCCATGTTTAGGCACTTCTGTTGCCTCCCTGAGGAGAGCTCTCCCAACACTCTTCCACTCATCATTATTCCAACCCCAAGAGCAGGGTTGTAAGCAAGGTCAAGACCCACAGATGTTTCCCTCGGTTTTCAGAAGGGCTACTTCAGGACCAATTAAGCCTTTGTTTTAAGAGTATTTTGGCCGAAGGTTGATGTTTTAACACCAAGTCAGATGTGATTTAGGAAAAAAAATACTCCGCACGCAGGAAAAACAAACCAAGTAGACCTTTCTTGGTTGTTTTTCTTTTAAGATGTGAAATGGCTTTGTGTGTGTGTGTGTGTGTGTGAGAGAGAGAGAGAGTATGCTGCACGCACATGCTTGTGTGTGCGCAAAGACTAGGAGAGGATCCAGAAGAAATGGACCATTTTATTTGTTTAGACAGCTGAGCAGTGGAGACCTTGCTGTGGGTGTTGTCTTCCCTCTTGTCCTCAGGCTTGCAAGTTTCCTTCTGAGCTGCACCAAGGCATCCCCCTCCTGCTTGGTCTCAGAGCTCCTCTGCCATGATTCAGGAAGGCCTGAGGGCCCCCTTACAGGGCCTGGGTGCTTTGTGGAGCCCGAGAGAGAAGGATAGAACTGGAGAGCGTCCTTGCCCCCTTTTGGCCCCTTATTCCTGGATGTGAACTTGACGTGTAGTTTTGTCTGTGTCTTAAGAGTCCCAAGGTGCTATGGCTTGGAGTCCATCTCTTAGACCAAGTAGACCCTTGGCACTTGTGATAAAAGTATCCAGAGATGAGTAGCAGTGGATGTGAGCAGTGTTTGTGAGGGCCCTGGCTTTACTCCAGTTCACGTTTCTGGTGTAGTGTCTTGTGTTCTAAGCACATCCTCATACGTTCCCTGGCCTTTCAGTTTTCACGAGGATTTGCTCTCTCATCTGAGGAGCGAATTTAGGCTAAGTAGGAGAACTCCCAGAAGCAGATTCCGTTCTTGGTATAATTACTTCTGACTTTTCCTTTAGACCCATTGCCATGCCTGTCTGTGAGGTTTCATCTCCTTTTCCCACTAAGAATGAAGTATGGTATATGTGTGTGTGTGTGTGTGCGCCATTTCACTAGGGTAGCTGGATAAAGCCCATGGATGCCAATGGACTAATTCGAAAGGTTCATTCACTTGTTACAGTGTTGCTTTAGTCTATCTAATTTATTTAAGTCCAAACCTCAGAATGCTCATTCATTCATTCAAAAATATTTATTGTGCATCTACTGTGTGCTTGGGGAATTCATCAATGAGCAAAACAGACAAAAGCCGCTCGCTGTCTCC